TGGGCATTATCATATAATAAATATTGTGGTGATGTCCATTAAAATGACCTCTATGATATGAATTGGCCATAATGCTATAAGTCATGATGGAGAGTGATGCAGTTCCTCTCTCAAAATTTGGATCCATCTCCTGTTGCCTGAAGCTTGCTCTTTTCTCCAGTTCTGCTCCCTTTCTATTCAGTTCCTCTAGTTTCTTCTTGTCTGCTTTTCAATACTCTTTGTTAATATTTATGAGTGACCAAGCAATGTTGATTATTTTTAATTTAGTATATTTTAATCTTCCGCTTACTTCTCTGACTATCTTTCCTCTATGATCATCTCTTTTTCCATCTTTTATCTGTGCCCTTTTCATTTTTATTTTTTTTAATAAGTTTTTCTTTTTATGTAGCTGCTTTTTTTCCCAGTCCTCTATTTTCCCTCAATGGAATTTGTTGTGTCCTTGGCGGGAAAACAGACACGAGAAGCAGCTGGAGTTCTCAGTTTCTTTTATTCAGCGTTCAGCTTACAGGAAGATGGCTTCAGCCTCGCCCAAACGCCTCGCAGCCTCTTATATAGGCAACTCCCGGGTAAATGGGTTACTTTTCCCGCGCCAGCACCCGCGCATGCGCACGGTGCTGGCGACAGCCTGTCTGGTCCCGGGCAGCTTTGCACCTGCCCGGGACTGCCTGCAAACGCCCGAGCCGTTTGCAAAGGCTCGGGACATAACACCCCTTTCCCCCGGGCTAAAACTACTACCAACATACAACATTTATTTTATATGACATTTTGCTCCCCAGTGCTCCCACTGTTTACTGGCCTTTGCCTTGCCAGCAATGTTATGTAGTCTTCTAGGTACTTGGGAGATTTCTTTGCTCTCTGTGACCTTCTTAGCTGTGGATTACTGGCATAAGTCCCCTGACTGGAGGGAGGCGTGAGCCTGTTCTCTCTATTGTGTCCTGGTGTCTTCCAAGGACTGTGCCCCGATGCCTGGCCTGCTTGCTTGCCCACCGGGCTCGTCAGGCCAGGGCTTCTGTTACTTTGTGACCTGGTTGACCTACCTAGCTGTAGACCCTCAGGCCCCTTGAAGTGATAGCCGCTGCTGGGCGTCTCTGTAGAACCTCCTAGGTCAGTCCAAGACCTGTCAGGAGGCTGTCCATTCCCTGAACCCCATTCTGTGTTCGGGCTCGTGTGGGTTTCTGTACTTTCCCAAAACTCAGGTGTTCCCTGATTTGTGCTAGGGTTGTTGTAGTCGGGACTTGGTTCCTCGACTAACTCTGTGTATGTTTGACCCCCTGTAGGATTTGGGGTAAGGTCAGGCCAACTTTGGGGATTGTGTGCCAGCTCTCTTGCGGGGAATGATTTGTTGGGATGCCCCCGGGTATCCTCCGTGACTGGAGTGCTGTGTGACGTGTGTGGAACGTGAGTATGCCCCCGGGGTGACTCCCTGGCTGGAGTAGGCGTGGATGCCTGGTAGTTAGGTAAGCTCATGGAATTCCTGTTTCGGAGCTCTCGCGGAACCCTGGGATGGGCCGTTTGTGGCTCCCTCAGTGGAGATGGGCAGCAGCTCGTGCCCTTCCCTTTGCTCCAAAGGGTCCCCCTCCCCCCCTGGAAAAGACCCAGGAGTCTCAGCAGAAAAGTCTCGCCTAGAGCGAAGTTGGTCGATGTGCCGACGCAGGACACGACCGTTGTCCAGGGCAACCTCGTAGGAGAGAGGACCTGTGATCCTGGACACAGAAGCGGGGACCCATGTATGACCAGGCCCGTAATTGCGAGCCCAAACCGGGGCACCCACAAGTAGTTGTCTAGGTGCCCTAGGATGTGAGGTAGATGAAGGCAGTCTGTCCGGATGCAACCGGTCAAGTCTAGTAGTAAGTTGGCGCCCCCAACGAAGTTCAGCTGGACTTCTCCCTGTAGAAGTGGACGGTGTGGTGCGATAAGAAAGGAGAAAGTCAGCCAACCTGTGATGCCAGTCCCCGTAGGTGAGTCTCTTCAAGGCGTCCTTTGCGATGCGCACCATGCGTTCAGCCATACCGTTGGTGGACGGGTGAAAAGGCGCAGACGTGGCATGACGAATCAGGTTTGCCTGTAAGAAAGCTTGGAATTCGGAGGAGGTGAATTGAGGGCCGTTGTCGGACACAATGACATCTGGCAGCCCGTGTGCAGCAAAAATCCCCCTCAGTACCTGAATAGTCTTTGCAGTGGTGGTGGATGAGACAGGCACAACCTCAAGCCATTTTGAATGGCTGTCAACAAGGACCAAGAAGAACTGGCCCTGAAAGGGCCCAGCGTAGTCAATGTGCACCCTAGACCATGGGGACTGTGTTTCCTCCCATCTATGCACAGGAGCTTGGGGCATCTCTGGGCGAGATCGTTGGCACAGGTGGCATGCGTGTACCTTAGCTTCAATATCTTTATCTAAACCAGGCCACCACAAGTGGCTTCGTGCAAGAGCCTTCATACGAACAATGCCAGGATGACCCTCGTGGAGGGATTCTAAGACCCTAGTCCTCATTGAGGTGGGAATGACAACTCTGTTTCCCCAAAGCAGACAACCCTGAGAAAGGGACAGTTCGTTCCTTTTGGACCAGAAACTCTGAAACTCAGGACTAGGGCAGTGCTCAGGCCACCCGGACAGGACCCAGGAGCGGACACGTGAAAGTGTGTGATCTGTACCTGTTTCAGCGGTAACATCCCTGGCACTAAGAGGGAGCTCGGGCAAGGCTTGGATTGATAGAATGTTGACAGCTGGCGCGGGGTCAGCTTCTACTACTGGCAGAGGCAACCTACTTTTTAAAGCAAAAGGGACCCTTCTTGCTTTAATCCTAATGGGAGTGACAGTGGGGTCTAGCTTTAAGGACACAGGTGGTCCTTTGAATGTGCCCAGCTGGGGGCTGAAAACATCTGCAAATTCTTTGCAGACTTCCTGTAGGTCGAGTGTTTGTAAGCTGTTGAGTCCTGTGACGTGTATCCCCAGGGCCTCAAACCAATCGAGTCCTATGAGACTCGTTCGTTCACCCCCTACTACTAATAAGTCTAGTGGACCTTCAAAACTCTTGTATTGCACGTTAAGGGTGGCCTCCCCCTTAACACACACTCTTGAGTTCTGAAAATCTGTTAATACAATATCAGAAGGCCTTAACTTGGCCTTAGACCCACTACTGGAACAAATCTTCCTAAATGTATGCAATGAAATGATGGACAGGGCAGACCCTGTGTCTAGTTCCATAGATAATGGAACCCCTTGTAGCTTCACGTTGAGTGACAGCTTTTTCTTCATGGGCTTGTGTGTGCCTATTCTACAGATGCTTCTTCGCGAAGCGCAAAACCCTACCCTATTCTGGCTGGGGAATCTGGTACCTTTCAGGCGTTCTTCTTGGGGTTGTGCCTTTCGTCGGCTCAGACACACAGCTGCAATATGCCCTTGTTTGCCGCATGCCCGGCAGGTAGCGGAGCGGAACTTGCAGTCGGTTCTCCTGTGGCGACCTCCACAGCCGATGCACTTGAGCGGAGCCGAAGAGCTTCCCTTCTGGTTCTCTTCCTTCGCGGGGTGTAGACGGTCGACTTCCTCGTCCGGATCCTCCTCGGAGTTTCGTCGGACGTCTTCCTGGTGCACGGACGCACCCTCTGCACTGTTTCTGATCGGCCGCATGTTTTTGATAGCGCCGCCTGCTGCTTCTTCTGCGGTGACTTCCCTTAAGGCGTCTTGGAAGGATAATTCTTCCTTGGCAAAAAGTCTCTGTTGTAGCTCTCGATGCCTTAGCCCGCACACGAATCGGTCCCTCAGTCGTTCCTCGAGGTCCTTGAACTCGCAGGGCTTGGCGGCCTTCCGTAGCGCGGCGATGTATTCCTTGGCTGTTTCACCGGACCGTTGATCCCTCTGCTCGAAGGTGTGGCGCCATGAGATAACGGACACCTTGGGGTGGAAGTGCTCTTTCAGCAGCTTCTTCAGGTCTGCGTAGCTTACAGACTCTACTGGAACAGGTGCTACAAGATTTTCTGCGATTTCGAAGGCGTCTTGGCCGCAAACGCAAAGCAGGGTGGCGGCCTTCAAGCTATCTTCCCTCACTTGGTTTGCCTTGAAGTAGTTCTCCATTCTGGATACGTAGGACTCCCACCGCTCTGGATGTGAGACGTCGAATTCCGAAAGCCTTCCAATTTTCGCCATCTTCGGATCTTCAGGAGACGGGTCTATCAGCCAGCCTACCCCCGAATGCGCACCGGATTGGCGAGTAGCTGCCGAGTCGACGCCGTTCCTCTTCCGCCGCTCAGGACTCCTCGGGTAAGCTTACACTTCTTCCTTTCCAGGTAGTGCAAGGCATCCCACCCTCGTCGCCAGTGTTGCGTCCTTGGCGGGAAAACAGACACGAGAAGCAGCTGGAGTTCTCAGTTTCTTTTATTCAGCGTTCAGCTTACAGGAAGATGGCTTCAGCCTCGCCCAAACGCCTCGCAGCCTCTTATATAGGCAACTCCCGGGTAAATGGGTTACTTTTCCCGCGCCAGCACCCGCGCATGCGCACGGTGCTGGCGACAGCCTGTCTGGTCCCGGGCAGCTTTGCACCTGCCCGGGACTGCCTGCAAACGCCCGAGCCGTTTGCAAAGGCTCGGGACATAACAGAATTATTTATACTTGTTCTTAATATCTATTTCTTTATGAACTCTCATACATTTTGAGCATCTTTTCCCATTAACTTTTCCATTTATTACTTCTGATAATAAACTTATCAGAGCAATAAGTTTATTAAAGTCCATTTTTAAAAGTTTAAGATATGTATTTTAGGAAATTCAGCTTTGATTATGTGCCATCAAGTCGATATTGACTCTTAGCCATCACGCAATTTCTCTACAAGTACTACTGAATTATATGATCATTTCCCCCCAAATTCCTTCTCCTACTTCTATTTCTTTGGCTAAAGTGGATTATGGATTAGTATTTATATAAATATTAAGTCAAGGATAATATGATCTACCAAACCAGTCAGTATGTAGCTAATAAGTCAAATCAATATTTTAAGATTCCATCATACTTAACATTTCTTTAATTAAAAAGAAAGATTTCTACAGATCATGTTTGCAAATTGTGCTTTTTGTAATTCATAATTGCTTTTCTATTTAAACAATAGCCCTGTTTATTAACTTCCAATATATTTATTGGCCTAACATTCTTATGCATATATCTCCTCTGTCCCCACAAAGTAAACAGACTTGTAATTTGCTAATGAAATAAAGGTATGCTTCTCCAATTTACAGATTTTTTAAAATTAAAATATAATCATTCTACTTTGAAACATGTTTGTTTCCATTGTAGAATTTAATATCATATATTGTAGAAAGAAGAAAGGGTCAAACAAAAAGCTTCTAAGGTTACATCATTTACAGAAAAAGATAGAATCATGTTTTAAAAATAGTCCTTTTTTTCTTATTTAACTTTAAGAAAGAATCCATAATCTATTTAGTACCAAGGATTTAGGAATAACAGTTTTAAATTAAATGACTGATTAAGTAATTGGATTAGAAACAGTTTTAAGGTGCAACTTATTTTGATTAATAAATCTGAGTTTGAAGATTCAAACTTTTGATTAGTTTCACTAAATTTCCATAAAAATTAAGAAAACATAAATCATGAGTGATTAATTAACAGAATTCTACCACCACTCAACCCATGTTTTTCCTCAGACAGGACTGGTCCATTTGCAGCCCATGGACTGCCTGCAGCTCCCAGAAGCTCTTTTTGAATAGTGAGGTGAAATCTTCCATTTTCCCTTTGAAATCAGCCTTAGCCATGGTGGGGCATGGAGCCAGTGAATTTAGAGCAGTAAGAATACAGTAATAGCAAACTATTTCTTTGCTGGGAAGATAAATGTCATGACTTCCCTTTTGTCATGCTTAACTTTTGAAACTAAGGAGAAAGCAATGTGTGTGGAGTGACATGGATTAGATGTGTGGCTAAGTGCTGTGTATGACAGGGCTAGGCATGCTCAAGGGCATATCTGAGAGGGTTTGCCAATGTCTGGGGCAGATCATGAATTCAAACCTCTGCCCATCCCTTGCCACAAGGGAAACACTGAGGACATCATTCAGTGAGGCAAATGGTTTTAACACAAGTGCCCAAGTATGCAACCAGTGAAGAAACAAAGAGCTTTCTGTTCTTTTAACTGAATTAGAAAATAAGAAATTATGCATAAATAACATGCTTGAAATCATTCTTTTAGAGCAGATTTCTCTTTCTAAATCAACCTTTTTTGCCCTCCATTTATGGTAGAAATTAGAAAAATAGTGGATTGGGGATGATAATTTTAAAGTGACAGCAAAGAATTTTCTTCTCTTTCAGGAAGACAATTTTTGAAATCATTTTTTCTTTCTTTTTGTCATTACAAACATAACATGCCATTTATTTCATGGCTGACTCTACATCTTCTCTTCTCTTTCATTAATATGGGAAGATATTACTTTTCCATCCACCATCTCTTCGACCACAGTCTTGATCCTTACAGTTTTATTCTTTTCTGAAAATAAGGACAGAAAAATTATGTCATTCAATAAGCAATAATATGCATCCCTGCTGGTATGACTAATATAGCATATTTTTAACTTGTTCTTCTGAAGATTTCTGTTAATGTCACATCATATTGTGATTGGAATATAATGGAAATGAAAGCTGAGCCTCTTGAACAACAATTTTCATGGCTAAATACAGATGTAAATATAAATCTATTAAATCTATATAGAGCTATAAAGATTGAGATTCAAAGGGATCAAGGGCAGAGAAAGGAATTACAAGCAGAGAGGTGAGCCCCAAAAGGGACCTGGTAACTTGGGGGTTGGACATGGTCATTTCTCCAGAAGGGAAACCCAGCTTCCTAGCCTTATAACTTGATGAGCCAAAAGAGGGTTTCTGGATTACAAGGTCAGCCTGGATGTCCAGGGCTTCTAGGAATGGAAATTGTGCCTGTCTTTGTTCAGCCCTATTTAACCCAGTTCAACCCTGAGCTACAAATCTTTTCTTTTATATATCCCTTTTTTCCCTCCCCAATTTTTTTTAATGTGGAGAATTGAAAAAAAAAGCTCATCTACTGCAGACATCTGTTTCCCAGGAACATGCCAAAATTAGTTTTGACGTACACTTGTTTGTGAGATGAGAAGCTATATAAATGAGATAGATAAATATCAGCCGGAATAGCCTACCTCTAGAATAGTGTTTCTCAATCTTAGCAACTTTAAAATGCATGGACTTCAATTCCCAGAATTTCCTAGCCAGCACCCCAACTGGGGAATTCTTGGAATTGACATACACATATTTTAAAATTTACATTATAGCTTTCTGGAAGCTACGTATGTATGCTCCATTTCTTATCAAGAGAAGAATGATCTAATGTCACTTTGATACCTCCACATTTCAGTGCTCAGATGATTTGACTGGTCACATAAACAGATTGATGTTTCTTTTTATTTTTTATCCTTAGTATGATATTATTTTAGGCTTTATGCTACATTTTTTCATAGATCAGGCACCCCATAAAAGAGTATTATTCCTTCCAGTGAAATAGTATCTTCAATGGAAAAAACACAAAAGTGGTGAATCCTTCAGTGAGGAAAGGGTTGGGAACATGCCCTTACCTTTTTCAGCTTCTTTGCTCGTCTCTAAATCTGAAGCAATCATTCTATTAAAAAAAAAGTGTATTGTCAGTCTCCCGGTTTCATTTTAAGGTAGCCTTTATAAACCCTTTAAGGTGGTGTTCGGCTATCTTGGATTACAGCTCCCAAAATGTCTGAGCCTTACAGCATGGATCAAGTGGGCATTGATTCAGCAATGGCCATTTAAAGGAATTAAATGACATAATATTTGTTAAGTGTTAGTTCTTCATTTCCATTTGCCTAGGATAGTTTCTCAACCTTGGCAACTTGAAGATACATGGACGTGAACTCTCAGAATTCCACAGGTTGAGAAACACGGGCCTGTGACTTTGGACAGAGCAAATGTCTTTCAACAAATCAAAATGCACGATATTTGTTTTGGAGATGAGCTATATGAGTTTCTTCAGTCATCATAAAAATGTGACTCCCCACCCCCTAAAAAAATTATCTAGCATCATTTTCTAGCAAATTGTATATTGGTTTGTAAAACCAGTTTTACCCATTTTCTTTATAGCATCCTTTTCACTAGGTAACGGTTTTCTGCTAACTTTCCCATCTATATTTCTCTGATCTGAATTATTTACCTCCAATCCTCCCCTTCCAGGAGACGACGATAAGTGGAAATCTCTGCTTCTAGCTTGACTTTAATGTCCAAGAGGATGCTGTATTCCATACTCTGTTGCTCCATGTCACTTCGCAGCTGCATTAGTTGGGCCTCAATGTTTCCAATGGCCATTTGAATTTGAGCCAATATAGTTCTGTAATGAGCTTCAATTTCTGCCATTGCATTCTCTCGTTCAGTTTTCTAGAGGAATAGATCAGATATATAGTGGGATAGATACTGGCACTAACTAGAATTTGGCCTCCAGAGTGAAGGGTGTCAATTTGTGAAAATTTTCATTAAAATTTGCTTCTCTCTACCTGCTCAGCATCTGTACATGCTCATGATTTAACAATGCTATTAGTTTTGATAAAAATTGTAAAAGAATGAGACTCTTGTTTCTTTGATCAATATAAGAAGCCTTACCCTCAGTCTCAAAGGCTATTTAATCTTATTAAAATCAGTATATAGCTAAACCTGATCAAATTTGTGTGTTTGTTTATATTTCATATTTCCTATCACTATCACATATTACTTAGTACAGTGGTTCTCAACCTTCCTAATGCCGCGATCCTTTAATACAGTTCCTCATGTTGTGGTGACCCCCAACGCCCCATCCAGCTGGCCAGGGAGGGGGGGCAGGAAAGCTGCTCCGCCGGCTCCACCCAGCCTGGTTGGAGAAGCGCTATTCCTCTCCCTTTCTCTCTCTCTTTCTCTTTTTCTCTTTCCTCTCTCTTTCTCTTTCCTATCTTTCTCTTTCTCTTTCCTCTCTCTTTTTTCTCTCTGTCCTCTTTCTCTCTCTCTTTCCTCCCTCTTTTTCTTTCTCTCTTTCCTCTCTCTTTGATCTCTCTCTCTTTCTCTTTCCCTTTTTTCTCTTTCCTCTCTTTTTCTCTTTCCTCTCTCTTCTCTTTCTCTTTTCTCTCTCTCTCTCTCTTCTCTCTCTCCTCTTTCCTTTCTCTTTCCCTCTTTCCTCTCTTTTTCTCTTTCCTCTCCCCCTCTTTCTTTCTTTCTCTTTCCTCTCTCTCTTTCTCTCTTTCCTCTCTTTCTCTTTCTCTTTCCTCTCTCTCTCTCTCTTTCTGTTTCCTCCCTCTTTCTCTTCCTCTCTCTTTCCTTTCTCTTTCTCTCTTTCTTCTCTCTTTTCCTCTGTTTCTCTCTCTTTTACGGCAGCATCATCAGGGGTCCCCACTGGCCCCAGCCCGGCCTCCGCCACATCCTCAGCTAAACGGGCGGGGAGGGGGAGCAGGCTGGGAGGCAGCGGTTCTGGTGGCGGCAGCAGTACGGCTGCATCGTTGGGGGTCCCTGCTGCCCCTGGCCTGGCCGCCACCCCCACTGGGACTCCACGCTGACTGGCCTCGCCCTCTGCCCATTGATGGAGCCACGGGGGGTACAGCACCCACCGAGCCACCTGGGGGCAGCAGGAGGAAGAAGGAGAGGAGGGCAAGGAAGCAGCTGCCCCAGCTGGGACTCCGCGCTGCCCAGCCTCGCCCTCCACCCATCGATGGAGCCTTGGGGAGAATGTTTTAAAAATTACACATTACATTAAATTCAGAGGTAAAGGATCAGCAACTTTATGTACTTTAATTATCAGACTTTACCCAGCTCAATTGAGATTGGAGTTCAATCTCCAAACTTTGGAGTGTATTCCTCCGGTCTGTAATCTCACTTCTGTGTGTTTCAAGTTGATAGGTAGTTGTGGTGACTTCCTCATTCAATTGTTCAATCTGAAGTGCAAAGAAAACTTTTAAAACATTCAGTGAATGAAAGGCAAATGGTACAGTGTGCAGATATTAGATGATTAATTAGAGGTTTAAAATATTTCCATTGATATAGAGAGATACTTCTGATAAATCCTAATGTATCTTGTTAATATCTGCACAGTTAAGGGAATACAAAAATAATAAATACTGCAGCTGCTACTACTACCTGATTATAAGAACTGAAAAGGGTATTTTAGAATTAGAGCAGGTTAGTTTATATCAGAATTCATAACACTCAGTATTTTAAATGCCTTAGTTCCAACATTATCATTCTAACCTTATTCTAAAATATATCTATGGATAGAAACAAACACTATGTTCACAGGCATACTTTTCCTCTTCCACCCATTCCTTAAATCTGAAGAAAAATGCTGCATAAATTTTTAAAAAGTATTTGAATTTCAAATGTGTTGATCCAAATAAAGAAGTCTCTCTGCATTTTTCTGCATGGGGCCAATGTGCTTAATAAGGCTTCAGGGAAATTTAGCTTGGATTTCCAGTTTGTGAACAATTAAAAGCTTGTTTTACAGATGAGTTGCAGGAAGAAACACAAACAAAACTGTAATAAAGTTTCTGTAGTTTGTAAAGTATTAAATATACAAGCATCACCAGTTTATCAAACCGATCCTTAGCCTCTTGACGGTTCTTTTCAGCCAGGATTTCATATTGCTGACGCATGTTTTCCATCATTTGGGCTAGATCAATGCCTGGAGCAGCATCTACCTCCACAGAAACATTCCCACTCAGCTGTCCACGTAATCTTGCTGTTTCCTATAATTGTTTACAAAAACAATTAATTAAATCTATTGCCAATTCAAAAAATATATTCTTATCATTAAAGTATCTTGAGCTATAAATTTGGCTTATTAGCTAAGTAGCAATCCTACCATCACATAGAATTCCTAAAGAAACTGGGATTGAAATAGATTCTTTCTAACTCTCAATAGCCAGTTTAAAAGAAATTATGAAATTACAAAGAAACATTAGAACCGTAATTGAATTGCAGATGTAAAGCAGATTACAGAACCTGCTGATTTCCAGAAACTTTAACTTGTCCATCATAGGTCATTGCTCATACTAGGTGGGAAAGATGAAAACTGAAGATGTCTCAGAAACACAAGGAGGTTAATCCAGTGCTGGGATTCAAATATGTGAACAACCGGTTCTCTGTGTGATGCCGCTTCCGGAAGCCCATTCTGGGCCTGGGCAACAAAAAATTAGCTACTGGTTCTGCCGAAGTGTTGGGAACTGGCTGAATCCTACCACTGGGTTGATCACTGTTACAAAATATCCTAGTTTACAGAGAGCAGTCCTTTTTTTGGAAGGGCTTTCAATCCTGTATGTGCTTTGTTTGAAGATAATTTCAGTCCAAGATAAAGAACCATGAAAAGAGCCATGAGTAAGGTGACCAACCGTCCTCCTTTAGGGAGGACAGTCCTCCTTTTTTAAGTTCTGTCCTCCCTCAAAAAGTGTCATCCTTCATGTCCTCCTTTTTGATATTTGAAGACTAATCTGCAGGGCTTTTTTTTCCCCTCATAGAACGCTCAGAACGGCGTCCCGACACCTTTTTTTGATTTTTTTTTTCAACTTTTGCATGAGCTGTACTACTCCCACTATTGGCTTTCGAAAGCCAATAGGAATTCCTGCTGAGCGCACCAAAACACCCGGCTGGCAGACTTTGCACATGTAAGTTGTCTGTATTATTGTTGCAATGAATAAAATGTTTCTTTTATTTACAATATTTTTTTCTTCAATTTATTTGTATCCTCCTTTTCATTGTAAAAAAGTTGGTCACCTTAGCCATGAGGCAAGGCTTGGAAATGTAGAGTTAGTACATTCAGAGTTATTCCATGAATAAGCTAGCTGAGGAAAGCCAAAGGTCACTTACTGTAGGTCTCAGTCAATAAATACCCCATTATTGTGAGACATAACACTTCTGATGGCTAAATACTGTTGTTTTTCCCAATATTTTTCCTGTGGCCTACAAAAGCTATCAATTCTATAACCCTTCTTCATTCACTAGGCTGTATAGTCTAATTCACTTCTTCATTCACTGGGCCATATAGCCCAATATACTAAACTATTCTGGGCTGCTAGATAATAATTAGCTCACAGTAAAAAGTTAGAGTATTTATTTCCTTCTGCTCTCATCTTGATTTAATTATCTGGATTTCTGCAGTCACATCTGAAAGTCCTCATGCACGAAATGGTGTTCTGTGGTGATTCTGACTAACATAGTTCTCTCTCTCTCTCTCTCTCTCTGTGTGTGTGTGTGTGTGTTTTCCTGGCTTAATTCTACCATATGTGTTAAAACAAAGAAATCTGTAGCTTCTATAGATCAATAGTTGTAAAAACAAACTATAGGACAGGGGTGCCGGCCCGTGGACTGCCGGCTCTTGGACTGATTGCATCATGTGGAGGCCGCGCCCACCCCAGCTCCAGCAATACAACACATTGCAACACGTTACGTGACGCAGCGAGTTTAATACCCATGCTGTAGGAGGAACATTCATAAGTCTTTGATTCAGTTGGTGATATTTTCTTACCTCATCATGTTGTTTCCTGAGGTAAGCCAATTCTTCTTTTAGACTTTCAATCTGTTGCTCCAAATCAGTCCTAACTAGTGTGAGGTCATCAATTAGTCCCTGTAATCCTGTGATGTCATTTTCCACATTTAGTCGCAGGCCCAACTCAGTTTCATATCTATTTATTTTTAGAAAAATATGTAACAAGTTAGGATTATTGCAAAATAATCCATTTCTTCACCACTTCCATCATTTTTACATATGATCAGCTTAATAATAATTTCATTTCAAATTCTGCTTTCTGATGTCTTTGGAGTAGATCCTTCCAAACAATTGTTACTTTCTGAAGAGAAACTCTTTTTACAAGACTGTTTAATTTTGTAATCATTTTCTAAGTGTTAAGGCGTCACAAATATATTGTTGGAATTGTTACTAAGTTTTGGTCATGGGCTTCAGCAGCAACAGCAGTCAATAACATTAAAATGGAGGGTGTGACTGGGTGGTTAAAGCCCTGTTCCTTTAAACAACAATCACATACTCTCACATGCCATTGTGATGTTGTTGATCAACCCTGTAGATGTTTTACTTATGGTGTAATTTAATCTGTTTAAAGAAAGCTTTATTTCAGTGTGAATTCAATTTTGAATGCTTTGTAGTTTTTTTCCCAAAGCTATTTTGAGCAAAATACAAAAAAGAAAAAAAGAAAAGAAAAAGAAAGGAAAAAAAAACCCAATTCAGAAGCATATATATTTTTTTAACCTTGGACTATTCCCTTGGAAATATCTAGATGTAGTCTGCTGAAAGGCAGCATTGGTCAAATATGTTATAATGTGTTTTCTTTAGATTGCTCTTTAAGCACATCAACTCTTCAGCATTTCAGATATATTTTAAAAAGTCTAGAAGTCAAATTTTGTGGCATCTCTTAACATAGGAGATACAGAGATAAAAATTCTGAGAATACACTATGGCACATTTTGGGCAGAGATAGCAAAGCTTGCAAAACTACTTTTATTTTGAAGTCATACTAGAAGGACATGATTTGGATCTGAAAAAAAATAAACTGATTGGCTTGGGGTACTTTATCCTTCCACACTACTCACTGAAGGCTCTTTCCCCATGACTTACTTGAAGAGGCAGAAACTATACTGATTACAATCTGCTACTTCCGCTGTTGCTTCTTATCCTGTCTATTCTGACATTCTGCTGAATGATGATGACCCAATTTGTATTGTACTGCACTTATTAAACAAAGTAATTGGTTTATTTGGTACCAGTTAGTATCAATTGGTAACTGGCAATTTAAAATGTATATTCTTCAATTTCCCAGCCAGTATGCTTCTGGGGGATTCTAGAGATTGAAGTTCATACATCTTAAAATTACCAAGTTTGAAAAAAACCCCACTGGTTTAAACCTTTGGGCTTTGTTACCCTTTATTTTAATAAATATTACCAACTAGTAGGACATCGCCTATTGACCCTATTCCTACTGTGATTGAAAGATGATTTCATCAGATGGCTAGACCTGTAAGTTTAGCCATCTGTCAAAACCCTCGTCTACCCACACATCACTTAATTACTGGAGTTCATGGAAAATTAGGAAAGCCTGGCTCTTTCAAACCTGCCATTTTCTGGAAACTATGGACCAGCTGTTTGGAAACCTTATTTTGAGCACCGGTAACCTACTGTTAGTAGAAGCCTGCTAAACAGCTGAGGATCTTGGGGGCGGGGGGGGGGGGGAAGAACTGCCTGATAAAGTGGGAGAAATAGTTCTCTCTAAAATTACACTCCAGCTTTACTGCATGTTTGGAACATTGCCAGATACAATGGCAGCTGGCAACTATGCCCTATTCCTTCTCTCCTAGAAAAAAGAGAGAGGGGTAAACAGTAAATAGAATAGATATGCCCCTGGTAGCACAAAATGACTAATACGGTCAAGGCCATCTTGTCCTTTTGTTGGTCATTTCATTATGCTACTGGCATAACCATCAATATTGGCATTGATGGTTCAGCAGATAATACATACTAAAACTCACTGGTTGTTGTTGGGTTGAGAAAAAAATAGTTTTGGGATATCAGCATAATTCACTATGATTAAAATCCATCATTCTTTCAGTGGGACACTATTTAAAGTTTTTATATTAAACATACCTTCCTTCTCTCTATGAATATATTTGGTAATTAAATCATGCTGAAGATTTTGATTTCTTTCTATATTTTTAGAATACATACTTTACTCTGAAATCATCAGCAGCCAACTTGGAATTGTCAATTTGCAGTATGATCCTGGTGTTATCTTCTCGGGCTTCCGTAATCTGAGAAAGAATAAAATATAAGAAAAAGCAAGGCATTATTCTTTTGGTTTGGGTCTATAGGATAATTAACTAGAAGCTTAATATTTTGAAAAAAAACTTGAATACTATAAGTATTCAAGAAAGCCACTTTTTCAACTGGTTTTCAGGCTTTATCTAAAAGACAGGAGTTTCCTTTTCAGTTGAGTATTTGGGCATTCATTTGGAAATATTTAGAAGTTTCCTTAAATATCATTCTCCTGAAGATGAACTATTACTTGACTGTTAATTCCATATATATTGGCAATGGAACATATTTTCCACTGCACTTGAAGGCTTTAGCTTAAGAGATACGAAGCTAGACTATTTGTTGCCTATATATAAAATAAAAATCATCATCGAAGCAAAGCCTTTGATAGTACCCACATATTTTACAGTCAATGAAAGAAATATTTCTTAAATTATGTTTATTTGGGATGCCCTCCTATATACTCCATTCCACTCTGATTAACTGTAAATCAGGAGTTGAGAAATTTCTGGTAGTATGTAGCACTAGTTATTCCCTATCTAGCCATCCTCGTGTTAGCAAAATGTCTTGGATCATCCCTGAGAATGGAACATCCATTCATCCATCATCACAAGAATAAGTATTTGAGTACTTAAAATCTCAAAGCAATTTGTAACTCATATTATAAAATATTTATATAAAATAGGAGAATCTAACAAAAAGATAAAAAGTCTAATGATGAAACAGAGGTGATTGGTTCTCCCAGCTTAGGCTTCAGCTTTACCTATCCTATTTTCTGGCAATAAATCTTTTCTGTAGCTTTTTAGAAACTTTCTACTGAATTCTAATTCACTATCTCTTTTTCATTTCAAACATCTTTTGATCTAGATGACTAAACTGCAGATTTAAAATAAACTTGACTTTCTATGTCTTAACACCTGTACAGGAATTCCTTGCTGAAAGAAGGGCAAGAGTGCCTATGCTAAAGATCAAATCAGATTTTTATTTCAGTTAGTTTTTCCAAATAGTGATAAGATTATCAAGGCTATAGAAAGTGTAGTAACATATAGACTACCTCTCCCATTACTTGAGTAAATAATACCACCTAGATAATGACCTACAATAGATTTACTAAGAGATACAAAGACACATACAAGACCTGCCAAAGCAGGAGAACCATTTGGCTTAAAAATAAGAGTTAGTTTATGTTTAATAAATATATTATTATTTATTTGAATATTTCATTATTCAAATAAATGAAAAAGAGTTAGTTTATGTTTAATAAATTCACCAAAGAAAGAAAAAAATTATATCTGAAAAAGAACTAGATGTAATAGACCACTATGTGAACCTTGGTCAACGGATCTCAATGGAAGGTGATACCATAAAAGAAACTGAATGGCATATTAAATGTGATTGGCAGGCATTTGGCAAGCTAAACATAATTTTCAAGAACAACTTCCCCTATGCCTGAAGAGAAAAGTTTTTGATCCGTGTGTGCTACCTGCTCTAATCTATGCCAGTGAAACCTAGACATCACTAACCTCACAATCAAGTCAAAAACTACGAGTGGTGCAAAGAGCCATGGAAAGATACATGCTTGTGATTACAACCAGATAGAAAGACCTGCACATGGATTAGAGAACAAACGAAAGTATACAATATCATCAAGAGAGTAAAAGAATGGAAAAGAAAATGGGTTGGTCACATAGCAAGAAGAACTGATGGCAAGTGGACCAAGGCAGTCATAGAATGGATCCCACTTGATAAAAAGAGTCCACAAAAGAGACCTAAAACAAGATGGATCAACAACATCAGCAAGTTTTGCAGGCCCAATGGGCAAAAGAAAGCTCAGGACTATATTGGTTAAAAACATGCGGAAGCAGCCTTCATTCTGCAGTGGATAGACAATGGCTAAAATGATGATGATGATGACTTGAATATAATGTCATGAAAGAGATTAGAATAGCTGCAGAATGGTTACAAGAAAAGTATAACGAATTAATTAAAAATCTCACACATAAGGCATTTCTCATCACTTGGACTTTCAAAACAATTGGATGTGTGAAAAGAAAAATGAGAATAAGTGTCCTGGAAGTACTATCATAATAGAACAATTATGGTAGACAATAACATATATGGTATTTGCTCTGAAATTAATATATGCAGGATTATACAAGGAACTGTATGAGTTTCTGAAATGATACACCAGTTTCCAACATTTCTCACTCCGGATATTGACCTAGTTATGTGGCTACATATATTTAGAAATGCTGAAGTAGTGAAATAAAAATTGCTCCCACATTGCATTTTAAATAGTGCTATGTTATTATATGATGCCATCCTGGATCAAGAATGTTTTTCTTGTTCAGTAATATTGTGAGCATTGACAAACACCTGCTTCCTTCCCCCCCCCTGAAAAAAAGTCATCTAATGGGAAATAGGAAATATGGCTTTTCCATGGCAGCCCCTGCCCTGTCAAACATCTTCTTCCTGAAATTTAGCAGCCCCCCTAGTCTTTTAGCCCTTTGCAAGGCTTTAAAGACCTGGCTTTACCCCCAAGTCCTGGGAGAAGATTAGTTAATGGCACATTATAATGGATTGGTGCCAGGTTTTAAATGTTTTAAATTTTTTAACTGGTTGTATTTTATAGTTTTTAAAATGATTTTATATTTTAATCTTTGATTGGGAGGCATGCAGAGTTGGCTGAAAGATGGGTAGCTATAAAAAAATTTAAGTAAAAATTAAATAAATAAATGTTTTGCAGAGTTTAATTGCAGCTGGTAACTAGCATTGTAATACTAGTTTCACTCTTATTTGATTATAATGGAATATTTATTATTGCCTGTTGAATAAACAAGTGATACTTACTATGAGTTCCTGGCATTATTTTTGTTATCCTAATACATTTTAATTATTGCTAATTATTTCATTTTTTCATATCAATATTTTCTCATTGGCAAAAAAAATTACAGCATCTCTCCAAGAATGTTCTTGCCAACCCACTGATTGGTTGGCACTGCCAATTGCCATTTGAAGAAAAGGTAACACTAAAAAAAAATCCAATAGTCTGGAAATAATGTCTGGATGGGCCACAAAGCAAGCAAGCATGCAAAATGGTTATATGTCAAGGTTGATAGATAGCAACCAAGAATGGAATGGTTGCTAACCTGGTAAATACCCTCACCCACCTTTCAGTAGTTCAACATCTTTGGAAAGAATGTAAGATGGCTATAATGCCAGATAATTAGAAAATAAAAAGTTTGATACTTGCCATACTAGCCCTAGGGTAACTAGACATGCAACGATTAGTGTGCTAGAGCCTCTACCTCCCTTTTTCTTTTTCCTGCACAATTCGTAGATATCTGACACCTTACAGTATTCAGTTACAAAAAGGCTCTTATAATACCTTCATAAACATTCTGCAACTTTATTGTTAGCAGAAAATGATTTTATTGATGATGTAACCATGACATATCCTCGATCAGGCTTCAACATAAGTTCCCTTTAGAAACAATACATTGTCTACTCTTAACTGCCTCATGCAGTAAACTATTCAGATATGAAAGAGAATCTTACCTTATCTTGAAGTTCTCTGATTACTTTAAAGTAGGCACTATAGTCTTGCTTAGCAATAGGGGAACTCTTTTCATACCACTCCCGTATCTGCTTTTCAAAAACAGAGTTTGAAGTTTCTAAGGAGCGCACCTTTTCCAGGTATGCGGCCAAACGGTCATTCAAATTCTGCATAGTAGTTTTTTCATTGCTTGTAAGCAGCAGCTCATTTATGGAAGTGCTGCGTAGCAAATTACTGCCAAGGGTATTGCTGTAGCTACTGCCAAAGGAAATTCGGGTACCAGAGCCACCTGCTCCTCCATGGACACTGGGTGTTCGGTATTTTTTTATGGATGATAATCTAGAGATAGAACTGGGAACAGATGATCCACTGCTTTCGAAAAAGACATTTTTTAAGTTGACACTGCCAGATCGAGCCATTGGTAGTATGTATATATGTTTAAAGAACAAAATATCTAAAGCACTTTTGCGGGAGAAAATGTTGCATAGGGCAGTTTTGGACCTTTTTATTTGGGTGTAAAAGGGAGGGTTAACAGGGCTGAACTCCGCCTTTTTTGATAACAATTAGGGGAAATTGGCACTGTTACTACTTTATTCCATCCTGTGGCTTGGCAATAAAAGACACATTTAATCAACCTTTGTGCTTCAGTCCAAAGTCCAAAGAAGATCAGTATTTCTTTGTGATTATTTCATATACAGTATTTTCCCTTAAGCCTGCCATAATTTGTGTAATGGGATCTCTCCCTCAGGACAAACTAAGGAAAATGTCAATAGGAAGGCTAAAGTTTATACTCATATATCTATTTAAATAAAGTTTGCCTTGAATTTCTGCCTAGCTCCATCCTTAATTTTCACATATCGTCCATAGGAGTAGAAATAGTGAATCTTCTGAATCTTCCGTAGTAGTGAATCCATCTTATTGGATGTAAGGCAATTGTCAGTAAGTAGAAGAAAGGTAAGTTGGACAAAAAAACTTTTCATGAGGATAAAATTTTGTGGATCATTGAAAAGCTCCATAATTAATCCAATTTGGTACAGTATTACCAATCTATTCACATTTACTATATATAGGGAAAATGAACAAAAATGAGCAAATATGGTAACTAATATAAATTTCTCCCATTCCTAGAAAATATTTAAAAAGTATTGCCATGTCACCCCTAGTGACACCTCTTCATTAAACTAGACATATCCAATTCCAGCAACCATTCCTTATATGTTTTAACCTCCAGTCCCATGATCATCTTTGTTGCTCTTCTCTGTACTCTTTCTAGAGTCTCAGTATTTTTTTTATATTGTGGTGACCAAAACTGGATGCAGTATTCCAAATGTGGCCTTACCAAGGCATTGTAAAGTGGTATTAACACTTCACATGATCTTGATTCTATCCCTCTGTTAAAGCAGCCTAACACTGTGTTGGCTTTTTCGGCAACTGCTGGCTCATATTTAAGTGATTATCCCACTAGGACTCCAAGATCCCTCTCATAGTTACTACTATTGAGCAAGGTACCACTTATCCTATATCTGTACATTTGGTTTTTCTTGCCTAAATGTAGAACCTTACTTGTTTCACCATTGAATTTCATTTTGTTAGATAGCACCCAATATTCAAGTCAAGATCCTTCTGTATCTTAAGCCTATCTTCTGGAGTGTTGGCTATTCCTGCCAGCTTGGTGTCATCTGCAAATTTGATGATTCCCCATCTATCCCCTCGTCCAAATCATTGATGAAGATGTTGGAGCACTGGGCCCAGAACAAAGCCCTGGGGCACCCCACTACACACTTCCCTCCATGTAAATGCAGTTCCATTGAGGACCATATGCTGAGTACGGCCAGTCAGCCAGCGATGAATCCATTTGGTGGTGATGCTGTCTAACCCACATTTTTCTATGTTATCAAGTAGTAGATTGTGGTCTACTTTATCAAATGCCTTACTGAAGTCCAAGTAAATTATATCCACAGCATTCCTCTGGTCCACTAATTTTGTCACTTGGTCAAAGAATGCAATAAGATTTGTCTGGCATGATCTATTTTTGACAAACCCATGTTGGCTTTTGGTAATGACTTTGTTTGCCTCTAGGTGTTCACTGATTCATTATTTGATTATCTTTTCCAGAATCTTCTCAGGTATTGAGGCCAGGCTGATAGGTCTGTAGTTTCCTGGATCCATTTTTTTCCCTTTTTTGAAGATGGGAACTACATCAGCTCTTTTCCAGTCCTCTGGTAGTTCCCCAGTACTCCAGGTTCTTTGAAAGATATAGTTTAGTGATTCTGAGAATTTTATGGAATATCTACAGTGTTCCATAAAATTCTTCAGTTCCCAGAATAACTGCAGTGGGAAAAGAGGGATTAGTCAAAATCAGGGAGTTCCTGTTCTATTGAAAAATTGCCTTTGGATGCAATTGTTTAAATCATGATGGCGCAGTGGTTAGAATGCAGTATTGCAGGCTGACTCTGCCTACTACTGCCAGGAATTCGATCCTGACTGCTCAGGATTGACTCAGCCTCCCATCCTTTCAAGGCTGGTAAAATGAGGACCCAACCTCTATAAACCTCTTAGAGAGTTCTGTAAAGAACTGTGGAGTGGTATAGAAGTCTAAGAGCTATTGTTATTGCTAAATACTCCCTTTCTTTGCTTTCCTTTAGGGCCACTGCCAGACTTGAGATTGATTGATTGATATCAGGTAGGGGCAGACCACGAAACTGATACACAGGAAGGCTAGAACTATAGTTTATTGACACAGGCTATAGTAACAGAATCTTGCTAGTCTGCCTGTTATTTTTTCTTCCCTCTCTCTCATAGTCTAGGGCAGTATTTCTCAACCTCAGAAACTGTAAAAAAATATGAACAATTCTCAGAATTCCCCATCTGACATGCTGTCCACATATCATAAAACATGCTGGCTGAGGAATTCTAGGCACTGAAGTCCACTCTTTAAAAGAGCTGAAAGGAAAATGTGAAGTATTATCTGGAGAGCAGAAGTTGGATTTCATCTCTTCTACAGCTAGTCCTTGACTTACAACAGTTCATTTAGTGACTGTTTGAAGTTACAGTGGACTGAAAAAACTTATGACAGTGACTTATGGCTGTTCTTCATACTTACAACTGTTGCAGCATCCCCACGTTCATGTGGTCAAAATTTGGGCACTTGGTAACTGACTCATATTTATGATGGTGACATTGTCCTGCGCTAATGAGATCACTTTTTGAGACCTTCTGACAACAAAGTCAATGGGGAATTCACTTAACAACTGTGTTACTAACTTAACAACTGTGGTGATTCAATTAGCAACTGTAGCAAGAAAGATTGTAAAATGGGGCAAAACTCACTTGACAAATATCTCACTTAGGAACAGAAATTTTGGGCTAAATTGTGGTTGTAAGTCAAGATAAGTACTACCTGTATGTATCCAGGTGGTCACCAGGACTCAAGACTAGCTAGAAGAAACATACACATTCTCATTAAATTTTAATCATTGAGCTTTTGATTTGTTTCTGTTAATTTAACTAAGATTGAAGAGAGTGGGAAATTGTATTTGTGTACCTTTGCTAAGTACTGTGTTAAAAGAGGAAACAAAATGTACTTTCAATAGGGATTTACAATAATCATATATCAAGCAGTGGCATCTTATCTCCACTAATCTGTTTTATGCAGGGGAATAGGTCTTTCCCCATTCTGAACTAAAGTGCTGTCCCCCATCTTCAGGTTGGTGGAAAAATTTACTTGCAGCAAATTTGTGGTCATTATTGCCAATCTGTATCTTTAAGCATTAGTTCTCTTTTGGCTTGTTGCTACATGATGCTGTCTTGATTCTGAATGTGAAGAATATATTAAGTAAAATGAGTGGTGAAACTTTCGGGCTTTACTGCCTTTTTGTGTTCTGAATGCCACCTACTAGAATGAAATAATCTGCCAGTCAGGATAGTGATACCAGCTTGGGGAGATACCAAGTTTTGAAAGATGGCTAACTCTTCTTCCCTGCTTTACAATTTACATCAAAAGAGGAGACCTGTCAAGAAGTACTCATTCAAGCCAGAGAGTCAACTCTCTCAGGCCCCTGTTGCTAAATGTTCACTCAGTCATTTGGCAAGCTGGGAAAAGTGTATGTAAACTGGGAACTCCTCTCCTGCTTTAATGATCAGCTCCCTAGACTCTTAAACAGCTGCTTAATAGCCCGTGGAAAACCCAGGTAGAACTGAACTAGCAGCTGGCCCAGCTCTTCCTCTTTCTCCATGAGGGGAGGATGGGAAGAATAGTATCTGAGGAAAATGTCCAGGACTGAAGAAGAAGGGTGTGCCTGCAATAGTCCATATGTGCCAAAGGTACCAGGCTGTTCCCATCCCCTATGGATCACCTGTCAAAGCCACCAATGGAAATCGAGAAAGCTTTTACATGCCATGGTGTGAGAGATCGTGGACAGAGATTGTCAGCCCTAAACAAACAGAAGGTGTGGAAAGAGTTTGTGAATAATCTGCAGCTTGTTCCATATGCAAAAAAAAAAAAAAAAAAAAAGCACAGGGAAAAAAAGATTCAAAAAGAAAAACCCTCCCTTAGTAAATTTACTAATAAAAGATAGCAGGCAGTTCCTATTGCATTTTCCAAGATTCTGTACTTTACACCCACCCAGGCAAGAAAATATTTCATTGTAGTTTGTAGAATTTGATTGTGCTCTCTGTGAGTGGATTTACACATGGGATATAGCCAGTGGTGGGATTCAAATATGTGAACAACTAGTTCTCTGAGTGGATGCCACTTCCAGAATTCCATTCTGGGCCTGGGCAACAAAAAATTAGCTACTGCTTCTGCTGAACTGGTGCGAACTGGCTGAATCCCATCACTGGATATTGCCCATTTAAAGGAAAAAACACTATTTTAAAACTGGTACAGTTGCCCATTTAAAGGAAAAAACACTATTTTAAAACTGGTACAGAAGTTGACTTAAACTTATTTGAAATGTTGATGGCTGATGAAATGAAAAGAAGTTTCAAGTGCATTGAGCAGATACGTAGTGTGTCTGAACATCTGTGTGTTGTGGTTAAAGCCTCCTCCTCCTCCTCTAAATTTAATCATTCACCAGTTCATTTTTTTTCAGCAAAAACTGGTAATTTCTTCTGCAAATGCAAATATTTTTTATTTGTACACTTTATTTTTCATGCTCCTTTGGTGCATTCTGCCTATAATGTATGACTCGGTAGAATTATCATGCTCCAGGTACCATGGACTAAAAGCATCACCACAGAAGTAGGCCTTTTCTATTACATTCCCTGCCCTCTGGAATAATGTGTCCTCAGATATTCATGTGCTGTCTCCTATTTAAATGAGTCCTTAAAATCTGGCTCTTCCCACAGCTTTGGGTCAGGGAACTTGAGTGACCCCTTCTTTGTTTTGACAGTGTTAGTATTCTTTTTCAGAGTATTTTTGGCAGAATATTTGTATTAATCTAGTTCTAGTTGTTGTTGTTTTTCCTGTTGC